CTGCTTCTCTTGCTCCCTCCCCTAGCCCCATATCTGCAGCTATTCAGGGGAGGTGATGCCGATGCTCCTCACCTACCTGAAGTCAGTGCCTGCAGGGCACACACACCACCTCGCCAAAGCCTGCTATGCCCTGGAGAACTTCGTGGAGAACCTAGGTAGTGATGGCAGTGGGGAGTGCAGGGGAAGTGCAGCTTTGACCAATAGGAGCCAAGTGCATCTCCCGCATTGCCACCTGTAGTGGGGAGAAGCAGATGGAGAGGCTATAGAGTCAGCCTGGAGGCAGGTCCATTTACAGAAGGTTGGAGATCTGGGCTGATTGGTCACTCTTTCCCACAGGGCCCAAAGTACATCCCTACCTTCCAGAGCTTATGGAGTGTATGCTGCAGCCTCTGAGGAACCCCAGCAGTCCCCGGGCCAAGGAGCTGGCTGTGAGCGCCCTGGGGGCCATTGGTGAGGAGAAAAAGAGACAGGAAGTGACCTTAGAGGATTCATTCACCCTGTACCATTCTGCCTGTGGGAGGTGGTCCTCCTCCCCTCTCCCCCGCTCTTTTAGCTCTGATTCTGTCCTGTCCTACAGCCACAGCTGCCCAGGCCTCCTTCCTCCCTTACTTCCCCATGGTCATGGAACATCTTCGGGAATTCCTGTTGACAGGCCATGAAGACCTTCAGCCTGTGCGGATCCAGAGTCTAGGTGAGTGAGGGATTCCCAGCTCCAAGGAAGGGCTGATGTTCTGGTGTCCCCAGGGCCGAAAGCCTATCTTCCTTCTCATCTCATCAAAGGCTTTTTCTTCTCCATACCTAGGAGTAGGGTAGAATTGTTAAAATCCTATCATCTCTGTGTCTCAGTGTACCTCTGCATCCTTGCCTCCACAGAGACTCTGGGGGTGCTGGTACGAGCAGTGGGAGAACCCATGAGGCCCCTGGCTGAAGAATGCTGTCAGTTGGGGCTGGGCTTATGTGACCAGGTAGATGACCCTGACTTGCGGCGCTGCACGTGAGTGACCCCTCATCCTGGATCCATAGTTCCTGTTCCACATTTGAGTCCAGGTTTCTCTGAGTTCTGTCACTCTGTCTCTCAACTGATTATACAGTTTCTTTCTGCCTCTACCAGGTATAGCCTATTGGCAGCTTTATCAGGACTGATGGGTGAGGGCCTGGCACCCTACCTGCCAAAAATCACCACACTCATGCTGTTGTCACTGCGTTCCACCGAAGGCATTGTGGTGAGCAGAGGGCATGTACATAAGATGAAGTTAGTCAAGCTGGCCCTGTGATAGGAACTTTCTCCTGGGTACCCCCTTCCCCCAGTGAGTCTCTATTTTGCTTCCTCCATCCAGCCTCAGTATGATGGAAGCAGTTCCTTTCTTTTGTTTGATGATGAGAGTGATGAGGAAGAGGAAGAGGAGCTCATGGATGAGGATGTAGAAGAGGAAGATGACTCTGAGATTTCAGGGTATGGAGTAGTGTGTCTCTACACCAGGGACTGCAGTCTCTGACTCTGGACAAGGGGCCTTGTTGGAGCTGCTCGCACTGGTGCCTGATCGCTGCCTCCCCACCTTCCTGTAGGTACAGTGTGGAGAATGCCTTCTTTGATGAGAAGGAAGACACGTGCACTGCACTGGGGGAGATCTCTGTGAACACCAGGTGAGCATTGGCCCTTCCCCTGGCACTGGGAATCCCACCTGGAAACCCTTTGCCCACTATTGTGTGTCTGTCCACAGTGTGGCCTTCCTTCCATACATGGAGAATGTCTTTGAAGAAGTAGTGAAGCTTTTGGAGGTGAGTTAGTGGGGCACTTGGACTGAATCTGTGTTCACTCTGCACACAGCAGCACACACCTCGCCTCTTTGTTCCACAGTGTCCTCACCTCAACGTGCGGAAGGCAGCCCACGAGGCCCTGGGTCAGTTCTGCTGTGCACTTCACAAGGCCTGTCAGAGCTGCCCTTCAGAACCCAACAATACTGGTGAGAAGCAGAAGCCTGGCCAGGCTGGGAACTTGGGGGCAGGGCAGGGCAGGGCCTGACCAGTTGTGTTTCCAGCTCTGCAGGCTGCCCTGGCCAGGGTGATACCATTCTACATGAAGGCAGTGAAAGGAGAACGAGAGCGCCAGGTGGTGATGGCTGTGCTAGAGGCTCTAACAGGGGTGCTGCGCAACTGTGGGTCCCTCACACTGCAGCCCTCTGGGCGCCTTGCTGAGCTCTGCAGCCTGCTCAAGGCTGTGCTACAGAGGAAGGTAAGCAGGATATGGAGGACTGGGGAAGAGGAGGTTCCAGAGGCCCTATAAGACCAGCTCCCTATGTATCTCCACCTTCACGGACAGGAAGGGCAGAGAGCCCAGACTCACTTGAGCTACATTTCTTCCTACAGACAGCCTGTCAAGACACAGATGATGAGGAAGAAGATGATGATCAGGTGAGCACTAGAGGTGAAGACAGGCCTCAGTAGCCCAGGTAGTCTTGAAAGGGCCTGGGTGGGTAGTACACTTGGCTTGGCCTGGGGGAGCCAAGAACACGGGAGATTGGTGACAAAACCCTGACACCACTGAGGCAGTATGAGTTCAGGGGAGAGCAGGGTGGCCTGGGAAGACTTGGAGTGATAAGTAGGAGTAGGAAGGCTAGGGCTACAAAAAGGTACACCCTAGAAGCAGGGCAGATACACCACAAAGGTCAGCCCCCAGAACCACAGACAGCCTGAAGGAACACAGCGTTGACCCTGCTGCTCCAGTCCCTGACTTGACTTCACAGGCTGAATACGATGCCATGCTGCTAGAGCATGCTGGAGAGGCCATTCCTGCCCTGGCAGCTGCAGCTGGGGGAGATGCCTTCGCTCCTTTCTTTGCTGGCTTCTTGCCGTTGTTGCTATGTAAGACGGTGAGTGCTCCATTCTGTACCTTCAAACCCCTACTACCCCTGTGCCCAGTGCCTGCCTTCACAGTGCCCCAGTCCCAGGCTGATATGCACTACTCCCTTGCCTTCCCCCACAGAAACAGGGCTGCACAGTGGCAGAGAAGTCCTTTGCAGTGGGCACACTGGCAGAGTCCATTCAGGGTCTGGGTGCTGCTTCAGCCCAGTTTGTATCTCGACTGCTCCCAGCGCTGCTGAATACTGCCCGAGAGGCAGACCCTGAGGTGCGGAGCAATGCCATTTTTGGGTTGGGTGTACTTGCAGAACATGGAGGTCGCGCTGCCCAAGAGTATCCTTGGACTGTAAGAGGGGAGAGTGAGATTGGCAAGGAGGATTTGGGATGGGCAACGTCTGCCCATGTGCATTAATCTGTTCCTTGACTGTGGATCAGCCATTTCCCTAAACTCCTGGGCCTCCTGTTGCCCCTCCTGGCACGGGAGCGACATGATCGTGTCCGTGACAATATCTGTGGTGCTCTCGCCCGCCTGTTAATGGCCAGTCCAACAAGGAAACCAGAGCCCCAGGTGAGGAGGGAAGGGGACATCAGGCAGAACCTGGAGGTTCTGAAGCCAAGGAGGGAAAGACGTGGGCAGGAAAGTAGCCTGAGGCATCTCTTGTGTCTAGGTGCTGGCTGCCCTGCTTCATGCCCTGCCACTGAGGGAAGACTTAGAAGAGTGGGTCACCATAGGGCACCTCTTCAGCTTCCTGTACCAGAGCAGTCCCGACCAGGTAACCTTGATGCTGGCAGCCCTTATGAATAGGAGGGGTGGGATGTTCCACGCCTGATGACAGGCAGAGGTGGTGTCAAGTTGTAGCTAATGCAGGCAGGATGGGTTCAGCTTCCTCTGGGTTTTTCCTCCTCTATTTTCCTGCTCATCTGTGAGGATTGGCAGCTGGTCCTTGCTCGAAAAAGCATTTTTCCTTAGCTACATCTCTGCTACGCTACGTGGAACCTTGGGCATTACTGTCGCATTCCACCATACATTTGAGTCAGAGAAGCTCTGATCTTGGGGCTTGAACTCAGGGCCTGGGACCTGTCCCTGAGCTTTTTGTGATCAAGGCCAGTTTTGTACTATTTGAGCCACAGCTCCACCCCCAGCTTTTTGCAAGATAGTATCTCACGGGCTTGCCTGCCCAGGCTGCCTTTAAATCAAAATCTCAGCCTCCCGAGTAGCTAGGAGATTTTGCATGTACCAAGCTAAGTTTGCCTTCATATCCATGTGTTCTTGTTGTCTTTGTCTTATACCTTTAGTCTTGCCATGTTAGAAGAATGTTTGGCTGTCTGCTTCTAATCATCTTTAGTCATACATCTCCCATCTCCTCCAAAAAGGGAATTATTACTACTGTTTCCTTGTTCCTTCTCATGTTGACAGTTGGATGTCTGTGAATCAATATTGGATGCAAACAGCCCTGACAGGAGACTGCTTCTCCTTGTCCCCACCACCCACCTTAGTCCTGGGGCCTAGGGCTGCTTCTGTCGCCAAGTCAACCACTCATTTCCCACAGGTAGTAGATGTGGCCCCTGAGCTCTTGCGCATCTGCAGCCTCGTCCTGGCAGACAACAAGTTCCCACCAGGTGAGGATGATGGAGGCTGGGGGGGCGGAGTGGGGGGGCGGTAAACAGGGCTCAGAAGATATGTGGAGCCAGTAGGGTTTAGGAACCCAGTCCTCCCCTCTCCACCCAGACACCAAGGCTGCACTGCTGCTGCTCCTGACGTTCCTGGCCAAACAGCACGCTGACAGTTTCTACACAGCTTTGGGCTCCCTGCCTGCTGACAAGGCTCAGGAGCTCCAGGCTGTGCTGGGTCTCACATAGTCTACAGGCTGCAGCTGGGCCAGAGAAGCAGAACATGCCACGGCCCTAAGACCACCTCAGCCAAATTTCAACTCGCGCCTTACCAAAGATTCTGGGCCTCATATTCACTTGGACTCAACCCTACTTGCTGCCTTACAGGAGTGTTCTTGGACTGTATGTATTATTATAGGTGGAGTCGTGACTTACTGTAATAAAGACAGTTTGTTTTCTGCTTGGACAATAGCTCTGAGAGCAGGAGGGTTAGCGATGTACATTGAAAAATAAGGCAGGCAAGGCACAGGGAGACAGAAGATGGTTTAATGAAGCTGGTTTCTTACAGCTTTGCAAATGGGCTCTACCCTTGGTAGAATTTGGGCCCCGGTTGAATCAGGATGTGCCCATATGGCTCCTCTTGTTCCATACGAATGATCTGCTGTGCGCACAGCACTAGTCAAGAAAGAAGAAAACACAGGTTACAGGAGGGAGTTCTTGTAGTGGCCTCTGGCCTGTGTGCCCTCGTGCCCACACTTACCCAGGAGCAGGTAGAAGACCCGGGCAGCCATTTTGCGGGGGCTAAGAGGAGGCACAAGGCTGCTGAAGTCCAATTTCTGGTTGGCCTGCAGTCCTAGTGCCACTGCCCTATTGGGATCGAGAATGGTTAGCGGGGGCCTCAGCCCTGGGGTCCACCCTATTGACACACACCCACTTTCCTGATACCTGTGCACAGCCCCCAAAGTGAGCAGCTCAGGCTCTGGGGGCAGCTCCAAAGGCAATTCCATGAGCATCTCGGGGAGTTCAGGCACCACCGGCAATGCAGGGGGCTCTGGCTGCTCTGCCTCAGTCCAGCCCCTGAAGAACATGGGAGCCACAGCAGGGAAAGTGGCGACTGTGACACTGATGAAGGACACAACGATCCTACCCCTGTCCAGCTCTGTAGTCTGAACCCAAAGCCTGGCTACTTACCACCGTTCTTCTGGAGGAACAAGACTGGTACGAGACCTCTCCTCTTCAGCTGCTTCTAGGGAAAGCTCTGTTGGGTTGAAGAAAGACATTGAGGCAGTGTCTTTATTCTTGGGTCTAAGCAATCAAGACCTTGTGGCCCAGATGGAAATGTGGTAGAGGGCCTAGCACACAAGGCTCCAGGTTCAATCTCCAACGAAGCCCCTTTAGTATAACTAATTGGGAGGCTGAGATCAGGAGGCTTACATTGGAAGCCAACATGGGCAGAAAAGTCTTAACTCCGTCTCAGTTGAACAAGCTAGGTATAGTGGTACGTGCCTGTCACCCCAGTGATGGTTGGAAGCAAAAATAGACATGGTCCAGGCATGCATGTAAGGAAGACCCTTACCTCAAAAATAACCAGAACAAGTTGGGGATAGATGGATCGAGCCTTTAATCCTAGCTACTCAGGAAGCTGAGCTATCTGGGGATCAATTTGGAGCTAGCCCAGGCAGGAAAGGCCAGGGTGGTTAACTGTTAACCACCAAAAAAAAGACCAGAAGTTCTAGAGGACTAGCTTCGAACAATAAAGTTCTTAAGTTCAAGTCCCAGGACCAGCACAAAAAATAAAGGGCTGAGGAGTGGCTCAGTATTAGACTGCCTGCCTAGCAAGCATGAGATCTTGAATTCAAACCTTAGTACCCTACACATACATACACAAACACTCCCTTGTGTTACGTTTCCACCCCATTTCTGACAGAAACAGCTTCACACCAGCTGGAGTACTAGTTTGTTGTGGCAGTGGTTGTCTCCCATCATCCCCTTTTCCAAGTGCTTACCTGAAGACAACATGAGGGGCCCACTGGGCTCCTGGGCTTCTCTTAGGACCTGTGGGTGGGAGATCAAGAACTGAGCCCCAAGCATCTGGGGCTTAGGCCACTTGATGGGACATGAGACCTTGAGCTTTTTACTGTTGGTTGATAGGCAGCAAGAAAAGATAGCTGGAGCCCTGGCAAAGCAAAGCTTTGGGGATTCACAGGACACAATGCAGGTGCAGTTACCTCAATATCACTTGGAGTTTCAGCCTTTTTGCCTTCTATCTCAGGTTCCTCTTCGACCTCCGTAGGTGGCCTCTGTATTCTTGGGGGTGCCCGGGCACAGTGGGTCCAGAGAGACAGTAACTCTGGAGGTAGCCGGGCAGCTGAGGATAAAGGGATGAAGTTTGAGTCATAAGAAACGAGAGTAAAACATAAAGCTTGGTTCTGAAGATTTTATGTGCCCAACTATCGTTCTTACAGAGAGTCGGGGTTCTGAACAGCTCTGCAGGGCTCCTGGTCATCCTCTTGGGAGGCTGTACCTTTGGCTGTGTGATGGGAGGTCAGAAGCCCTTTTAGAAGGAAGGTAACCTTGGCCCTTCACCTCTGCTTTGTACATGCATGTGTATGCAACCCTACACACAAGCAATCTCCAGAAAATAGTGTTTCTTGTTGTGGTTTAATCCCCATTAAATTCTTTGTTTCTTCCTCTTCCCCCCACCCTCCACTCCCATTGGAGTTCAGAAGGTCCAGCCTGTCCTGAGTCCTTTCCCCAGGAAGAGCCTGGGTTGCACTCACACACTCCCAGCAGTGAGCTCTGGTTTGCAGTTGTTCCTGGAATTTCTCCCGGGAGATCTGAGTCTCCTTGTCCCAGAACAGTAACTGGCGGCGGCGGCGGCGAGCAGGTGGCCCCCCAGGAGATGGAGCCTTCCTCTGCAGAGAGGAGAGGAGGTGGAGGCAAAGTTAGCCACACTCCTGATCCTCTTATCATGGTTTTTTTTTTTTAAAAAAAAAAAGGCCCCACACTAGGGGGTACCTGGGGAAAGAGCTTGGGCCAGAACATGCACTTGCAGGTCAGTCATACCTTCTTGTAAGAGGGTTCCCATTTGCGAAGGAAGACCATACAACATGAGAAACGGAAAAGGGCACTTTTTTTGGGGGGGGGGTCCGGTCGTGGGGCCTGAACTCTGGGCCTGGGCGCTGTCCCTCAGCTCTTCAGCTCAAGGCTAGCACTCTACCACTTGAGCCACAGCGCCACTTCCGGCTTTTTTCTTTTTGCTCATGTGGTGCTGAGGAATCGAACCCAGGGCCTCATGCATGCAAGGCAAGCGCTCGACCACTGAGCCACCTTCCCAGCTCCTCATAGGACCATTTTTTATTTATTTATTTTTGCCAGGCTTGAACTCAGGCCCTGAGCTTCTTTTGCTCAAAGCTAAGTACTCTACCACTTCAGCCACAGTGCCACTTCAGGCCTTTTCTGTTTATATGGTACTGAGGAATCAAACTCAGGGCTTTGTGCATGCTAGACAACCACTCTACTAAGCTACATTCCCAGCTTTGATTTCATAGGACTCTTAGGGCAATGATAAAGTTACACAATGTCCCTCATAGGGCCTGACTTTTTTTTCTTCTCATTTTCTTTTTTTCTTTTTTTTTTGTCGGTCATGGGCCTTGAACTCTGGGCCAGGGCGCTGTCCCTCAGCTCTTCAGCTCAAGGCTAGCGCTCTACCACTTGAGCTACAGTGCCACTTCCAGTTTTTCTGGTGGTTTATTGGAGATAAGAGTTTCACGGAGTTTCCTGCCCGAGCTGGCTTTGAACCGCGATCCTCACATCTCAGCCTCCTGAGTAGCTAGGATTACAGGCGTGAGCCACCAGTACCCCGCTTTTCTTCTCATTTTCTTAAGAAGTAGTATGGGGCTGGGAAGGTGGCTCAGTGGTAGAGTGCTTGCCTTGCATTCATGAGGCCCTGGGTTCAATTGCTCAGCATCACATAAGCAGAAAAAGCCGGAAGTGGCGCTATGGCTCAAGTGGTAGAGGGCTAGCCTTGAGCTGAAGAGCTGAGGGACAGCGCCCAGGCCCAGAGTTCAGGCCCCATGACTGACAAAAAAATAAAAAGAATTAAGTAGTTGTACAAAGGAGTTGCATTCAACAAAGCCTGGCCTGACTCTTAAGCTCAAAACCATCATTTCTTCAGCTCTGAGGCTTCCTGTGTCTCACCAAGAAAGTTTTTACCAACCTGGCTTCCTGTGCCTCGGAAGTTCTACAGGAGGGATCTCCTCAGGAACTCTCTCTGGAGTTTTAGACTCTAAAAGATGTCGAATCTTTGAAAAGAGTTTGGGATCAAAAGAAAAGTTTCACCATTAGCCCTGTACTTTCCCATTTTCAAAACACAACAGAGGGGCTGGGAAGGTGGCTCAGTGGTAGAGTGTTTGCCTCCTATGCATGAGGCCCTGGGTTCAATTTCTCAGCACCACATAAGCAGAAAAAATCGGAAGTGGTGCTGTGGCTCAAGTGGTGCTATGACTCAAGTGGTAGAGTGCTAGCTTTAAGCTGAAGAGATGAGGGACAGTGCCCAGGCTGAGTTCAGGCCCCACGACCAATTAAAAACAAAACATAGTGACATGGTAATTTTTACACTATTCATTTATGTTGTTGTGCTGCAGGGAATTGAGTCCAGAGGCTCATGCGTGCTAAGCACATGCTTTGCCACTGAGCTGCATACCCAGTCTTAGACCCAAATTTTTTTTGGGGGGGGGGACAGTCATGAGGCTTGAACTCTGGGCCAGCATGTTGTCCCTGCGCTCTTTAGCTCAAGAGAGTGCTGTACCACTTGAACCACAGTGCCACTTCTGGTTTTCTGGTGGTTAATTGGAGATAAGAGTCTCATGGACTTTCTGGCCCGGGCTGGCTTTGAACCTCAACCCTCAGATCTCAACCTACTTAGTAGCTAGGATTATATGCTTGAGCTACCGTGCCCAGCCTGGCTATGATTCTTGATTGCAAACAGTAGATGGGTTAGTGGGAGACAAGTTTGTATATGGCCCCAACAAGAGTCAATGCAGGGCTGGGAAGAGGGCTCAGTGGTAGAGTGCTTGCCTTGCATGCATGTGGCCCTGGGTTCAGTTCCTCACCACCACATAAGCAGAAAAAGCTGGAAGTGGTGCTGTGGCTCAAGTGAGCTGAAGAACTGAGGGAGAGTGCCCAGGCCCAGAGTTCAGGCCTCACGACAGACCAAAAAAAAAAAAAAAAAAGTCAATACAAGGATAAAACAATGACCCAGAAAGTGTTATGCTTCCAAACAGCATTTTGTTCTGGTTGGGAGTGGGGTGAAAGCTTCATGGAAAAAGGGTAGCATCTGAACTAGGTCTGTAAGGTTCTATAGGATCTAACTAATAGAACGCAGAGTGACCATTATGGACTAGTCAGATACCCTAGGCTTTCTCTGTACAGGACCACTGTGACAGCCCTTTAACATATCTCCCTTAGGGGGGACTTAGAGCAGGTTCCCTTCCTTGAATCCTATAAGATTGACACAAGGACAGCACCTGCTGGGCCCTAGAGACACACCTTTAATCTTTGCTACCCAGGAGGCTTGAGATTTGAGGATCTGTTTATAGCCAGCCCAGTCAGAAATACCTGCAAAAGCCAAATGTTGATGGCTCATGCCTGTAATTCTAGTTACTCAGGAGGCTGAGATTAGAGTTTTGTGGTTCAAAGCCAGCCCAGGCAGGGAAGTTCCTGAGGCTTATCTCCAATTAACCAAAATAGAAAACCAGAAGTAGTGCTGTGGCTCAAGTGGTAGAGTGCTGGCCTTGAGATGAGGGACAGGCCCAAAATTCAAGCTCCACTACAAAAAAAGAGAAGTCTTCAAGTCTTATTTAATCAGCAAAAAGCCAGAAGTGGATGTGTAGTGTGGGCAGAAGACAAGGACAGTATGTTCCTTCCCTTCTACAGTTTACAACTTTGAAATGTTCCAGGGGAATAAACCTTACCTGAGGGATATTGAAAGGGCTAGGAAGGCTGGGCTCCACGGACATCAATCCAAAAAAGGGATCCGGAGCATCTTCTAGGGTCTCCATCATGGCCAGGCAGTTGGGAAGCAGCAGGCTGGGTCTGGAAGAAAATGTGAGATGTTAAGGGTAGAAGCTGAACCAAACATGTAAGTGCTCCATCAAAGTCTGAACCATTCTAGTCCCAGATAAGTGTCCACAATAGGTCAGTATCCACTTACAGGTCTGTGTCTACCATATCAATGCGGATCTGCATCTGGGCCCGGTGCAGGCGCTCCAGTGTGTGCTGGATGTCCTCTGTAAGCAGGAAGAGCAAGGTAGAGAACCAGCCTACCCTGCCAGCTGTTAAGCCCTCCCCCATCTGTAGGATTCCCAGTCTTACCCACGAGGTACTGGCACTGTTGGAAGTAGACCCGGATCACGCCAATCTGCAGCTGGGCCGAGAGATACAGCGAGAAGCGGGGTCGTGGCAGGCCAGGCATTGGGGGTTGAACTTGGACCAATACGTAATCAAGGATTTCCTGGCTGAGAGAACAGTGATTATTGCTGCACCGAGAACAGCCCCCACAGACTAACCCCGCCCCCACCCTTTCCCCCACTCCCCCACATTTCCACTGCCCCCTCATTTTTCCCTCCCCCCACATTTCCTGCCACCCCGCCCCCTTGCCTTTCCCACCCCCACCTTTTTTTGCCCTCTCACTTTCCCGCCCCCACCTTCCCTGCTACTCCCACCTCTTTTTGCCCTCTCCCCTTTCCTGCCCCCCACCCTTTTCACCTTTCCTGGTCCCCTTTCCCACCCTTTGCTCCTCCACTAGGTTTCCTTTCTCTACTGTTCTGGGTCTTACCATGTCTTCACCACGTTCACCTTCAGGTATTCGCGCTTCACCAACCGGCTGCCACGTGTCGCTGCCAGCCTGCAGTGGGTAAGGTGAGGTGGTTTGTGTGTATGCACGTGTTCACGTGTGCTGGTGCTGAGGGTTGAACCCTGGGTCCCGTCCCATAGCTTTTTCCTCTAGGTTGAGACTCTACCACTTGAGCCATAGGAGAGTAGAGTCTCACAGACTTTTCTGCCTGGGCTGGCTTTTAATCTCGATCCTCAGTAGCTAGGATTTCCTGACTAGGATTACAGGCATGAGCTCAGGGCACCCAGCTGGGAGGTGGGTTTGGAGTGCGAGATAGGTTTGCCCCTATCAGGCTCAGAGCTTACCAGATGGTGGAGAAGCAGCCGGTATGGCGCTGAAGCACGTTGGGATAATAGAACATTTTCCTTCGGAATTCACTCTCCCACACTCCTCCGTCCGGCTCTCAACTGAAATTCTTGAGGGGCATGAGAAGAAAGAGAAGTAAGCATTTGGGCGAGTGGACCCACGAAAGCGCAGTTAACGAGGTGGTCAAGAATGGGTAGTTACATTGAGGGGATGACTGAACAGAAAAGCCAGAACTGGGACAGTCCTCTTTGCCAGCCCCCAGTGGTGTCACGCGTCGTTAGGATTGCACATGGAGTAGAACTTACTGCACTGTATAGGGCTGGCTTCCAAGGATGGAGATGAACTCCGCGGCGAGGCCTGAGCTGGGTTGCAGAGCAGGTCTCAGAGCGCGGCGTCTTCCACAGCAGGCCTTCGTCCGCCAGCCTCACACGAGGTCTGCCTCACGCACGCAGCAGGGTCGCCTTCCCGGCACACGACTGGCGTCCCGCGGCAGGCTCTGGAACTTACTGTTCAGTTCTCGTGCGCCACGACAGCCAATGGGGAGACAAGTTGGCGGAGGGCGAGGGTTCCAGAGGTCAAGTCACCCCGGTGTCTTGGAGACAGGCAGTGAACCAATCAGAAGAACGTTGCGCGTGGTGAGTGGGCGCATTTTGAATGGTCCTGGCCAATGGATTTTCGTTCTCGGGCCATTGTAGCAAGGTCTTGTCCGAAGCTTTCCACTGACCAATGAGCGGGGAGCACCCCTAGCCTCGCCCTGGCGCCAAGACTGGCAACTAAGTGTCTCAACAGGCGGCAGAGGTTGGGTCATGGCGGGAGCAATTGCAGTGGCCCTGCCGAAGGTGCCGAAATGTCAGGGAGGGAGGTGCCCGGCTGGTGCATACACCTGCCTTTTCCACTAAATTGGACCAGGCTAGACTGAGAAGGCCTTTGAGTTGCCACAGGTTAATGGAGAAGTCAGTTTCATAACTTAAATTTTGAACAACTTAGCTTGGAGACATGTTCCGTCTAGTTCTTTTGAGTTGAATGTGATCTGGCTGAAGTAAGTTTTAGATTTTACACTAGGCATTGTGGTGAACAACTGTAATCCCAGCACTGAGGCAAGAGAATGGAAAGTTCAAGACCAGTCTGAGCTATGTGATGAAACTCTTTAAAAAAAAAAAAAAAGCCAAGTGCTAGTGGCTCATAATACAATCTTAGTTACTGAGAAGGATGGGATCTGAAGATCATGGTTCAAAGCCAGCCCAAGCAGAAAAGTCTGTGATACTCATATGGAAGTGGAGCTGAGGCTCAAACACTAGCCTGGAGGAAAAAAAAAAAGCTAAGCAATAGCATGAGGCCCTGAATTCAAGCCCTAGTAATACCTTTCCCATCACCCCCCATGGCCCCACCCCCCAAATAAAAGCAAAATACACTTTTTTTTTGCCAGTCCTGAGGCTTGAACACAGGGCCTAGGCACTGTCCCTGAGCTTTTTTTGCTCAAGGCCAGCACTCTACCACTTGAACCACAGTGCCACTTCTGGTTTTTTCTGTTAATATGGTACTGAGGAATTGGACCCAGGGCTTCATGCATGCTAGGCAAGCACTCTACCTCTAAGCCACATTCCCAGCCTGCAATATACACTTATTGGCCCCTAAAACCTATTAATCTCAGTCATTCTCTTTGGCCATATCGGAGATTGAATTTGGGATTGGATGTACTTAATTGGGCAGGCACTCTACAACTTGAACCATTGATTTAAGTTCCCAGCCTGCATTAGTTTGTTTTCAGATAGACTCTCTAGCTTTAGGACAGGCTAGCCTCAGACTACAATCCCTACTTGTGCCACTTGAGTAACTAAGATTTCACACATTGTCTCAAATTATTCTTTCTTTAAATTAAGTCATATGGATATATTTACAAATAACTGGACCTTTTAGTTTGAGAGCTTTTGAAATTGGAATCTTGTTTTTTTGGGGGGGGGCTGTTTTGAACTCAGGGTCTTGCATGCCTAGCTTTCCTGCTCATTCCTGACATCTTGAACTGTGCCCCCAGCCTGACTTTTTGCTGGCTAATTGAGAAAATAATTGGAGATACAGTCTCTTGGACTTTTCTACCTCAGCCAGCTTCAAACTTAGATCCTCAGTTCTCAATCTTAAAAGTAGCTAGAATTATAGGGTAGGAGTCCAGCTTAGAAGTAAAGACACGGAATGAAAGACAAGAAACTAATTCAGAACAGACTGCCCCCGCCCCCAGACAAAAAAAACCAAGCACTGGTGGCTCATGCCTATAATCCTAGCTGCTCAGGAGGCTGAGGATCCCAGTTCAAAGCCAGCCTGGGCAGCAAAGTTCATGACACTCTTATCTCCAGTTAACCACCAGAAAACTGGAAGTGGCACTGTAACTCTAGTAACAGAACTCTAGCCTTGAGCTGAAGAGCTGAGGGACAGTGCCCAGGCTCAGAGTTCAACCCCCATGACCAGAAAAAAAAAAGTCCAAGTAATTGAGGATCCAAAGGCAATTGTATACTGAACATCTTTTCCTTGATGCTCAAGCAGTTGCTTATTTAGGAGCTTGGCTTCTCAGCAGGATGAGGAACAACTTAAGGAAAGAGAAAATATAGAGAAGCAAAGCACAAAGGGAGCACTGGAGCTAGTCATGTAAGATAACAAGAACCTAAGTGGGGTTAGGTATTTAGACTTGGTCAGATAGGTGAAACTGAAGGCTTATAAGAATAGTGTGAGGGCTGGGAAGGTAGCTCAGTGGTAGAGCGCTTGCCTTGCATGCCTGAGGCCCTGGGTTCGATTCCTCAGCACCACATAAGCAAAAAAGAAAAAGCCGGAAGTGGTGCTGTGGCTTAAGTGGTAGAGCGCTAGCCTTGAGCTGAAGAGCTGAGGGACAGCGCCCAGGCCGAGTTCAGGCCCCACGACCGGACCAAAAAAAAAAAAAAGTGTGACAAAGCCGGGTGCTGGTGGCTCACGCCTGTAATCCTAGCTACTTAGGAGGCTGTGATCTGAGGATCATGGTTCAAAGCCAGCCCAGGCAGGAAACTCCGTAATAAACTCCAATAAACCACTGGAAAACCGGAAGTGGTGCTATGGCTCAAGCAGTAGAGCGCTTGACTTGAGCTGAAGAGCGCAGGGATAGCACCCAGGCCCAGAGTTCAAGCCCCATGACCAACGCTCCCTCTAACCCCCCCCCCAAAAAAAAAGGAATAGTATGTCAGGAAGAAGTCTTCAGAGCTAATCCGGTATGTGCAGGAATTGGGAAAGTGTGACAGTTAGGTGAGTAGTGACATAGATTAAAATTAGTCTGGTGGAATCGAGAATAGAAAGAACTTCCAGGTTGGTGACAAAATAAAACAGTGGCTCACTGCTGGGATCATGCCTGTTAATCCTAGCTACTTAGCCCAGGCAGAAAAATCTATGAGAGGGCTGGGAAGGTGGCTCAGTGGTAGAGCGCTTGCCTTGTATGCATGAGGCCCTGGGTTCGATTCCTCAGCACCACATAAGCAAAAAGAAAAAAGCTGGAAGTGGCACTGTGGCTCAAGTGGTAAAGCGCTAGCCTTGAGCTGAAGAGCTGAGGGACAGCGCCCAGGCCCAGAGTTCAGGCCCCATGACCGGACCCCCCCCCCAAAAAAAAATCTATGAGACTCTTATTTCCCATTAACCACAAAAAGCCAGAAGTAGAGCTGTGGCTCAAGTGGCTCAAGTACTAGTTATAAAAGGAGTTCAGGGACAGTGTCTAATCCCAGAGTTTAAGCCCCAAGCATGGAAAAAAGAAAAGAAAGAAACAATGGGTTAAAGAGTGGATTGTCAGGGCTGGGAAGGTGGCTCAGTAGTAGAGCGCTTGCCTTGCATGCAGGAGGCCCTGGGTTCGATTCCTCAGCACCACAGAAGCAAAAAGAAAAAAGCTAGAAGTGGCGCTGTGGCTCAAGTGGTAGAGCGCTAGCCTTGAGCTGAAGAGCCTGAGGGACAGCACCCAGGCCCAGAGTTCAGGCCCCACAACCAGACCCCACCCCCCCAAAAAAAAAGAGTGCAGTGTCAGCCAATTTGGAGCCCTTTTGGTACACAGGGTGTGGTGACATGGCAATCTATAGCTTCTATGAAGTTCAGGTGAAATGAGGGATCCCATTAGGGACTATTCTGTCAGGTGACAGTGCACTGAGGCCTGTTATGTCACTTCAGAGGCAGAAGCAGCAGTTACAGAAGGCTTGGCAAGTCTTGGTTTTTGCTCCCCTTTATGGCACAAGATGTTTAGACCACAGTTTCAGGTCAGTCTCAAGTGTCTTCTTCATGTAGTTCCCCAGGACGTGGGGGTGGGTAGGGGGTGCACAGCCTCTCTTCTGTTGAGGCCCAAAGCTGAGGTCTCTAGCAAAGAACTGTAGTATCCAGGTGAAAATCTGGCTACATGAGGTTGGTAGTTAAAGTGCTTAGCTCTTTGATTGTCTAGAAGGTACATTTCTGACAGTGTCAGATGAACAGTGTCCCACCTAGAACCTGTGGGTAGAATAGACTGAAGGGGACTAGAGATATCAGTAAGAAGAGAATCCCAGAGCCTGGCTCCTAAGTTTACATCTCTCCTATATCCTGCTAACTTCCTTTCTCAGAAAATCAAATGCAGATTACTCTTTTAACAGAAGTTTATTTTAAATTCTTAGGACATAGGACCAAATATAAAGTGCTTGGCTTTAGAGTTGGAGGGTTGGGGAAAGAGGGAAAGCTGCCCTCAGTTTACACCATTTGGCCCCAGTTCCTTAGAGACGAAAGAAGGTTTATCTCTCTTCTATTTTTTTTTTTTTTTGGTCCGGTAGTGGGGCCTGAACTCTGGACCTGGGCGCTGTCCCTCAGCTCTTCAGCTCAAGGCTAGCGCTCTACCACTTGAGCCACAGCGCCACCTCCGGCTTTTTTCTTTTTGCTATGTGGTGCTAAGGAATCGAACCCAGGGCCTCAGGCATGCAAGGCAAGCACTCTACCACTGAGCCATCTTCCCAGCCCTCTCTTCTATTTTTTTTTAATGTCAGATGGGTAATGTGCCCACATCATAACAAGGTTTGAAGAAGCACATGTCATACAAGCACATGAGAACCCAGTCATGATTATAAACCAGAAAAGGATCTCTCACTTTCTCTTTTTTTTCTTCTTTCTTTCTTTTTGTTGTTGTTGGTTGTGGGGCTTGAACTCTAGGCTCGTGCACTCTCTCTCAGCTCTTTAGCTTAAGGTGAGCACTCTACCACTTGAGCCACAGCACTATTTCCGGTTTTCTGGTGGTTTATTGGAGATAATAGTCTCAGAGACTTTCCTGCTGGGGCTGGCTTTGAACCACAATCCTCAGATCTCAGCCTCTTCTGTAGCTAGGATTACAGGCGTGAGCCACTGGCGTCCAGCTTCTCCCTCTCTTTCTTTTTTAAAGGACAGAAACTATCCTTGAGTTTTTCACCAGTCAGGTACATAAGGAACCCAAGGATCTAACTCACAGACAGCTGTGAGAGCCATCACAAAGAGAGGCAGAACAACAGTGTGAAGAACAAATTATTTCAAAGGAGCCAGGAAGAACAGGAAGGTGAGGTGGCAGGTGGGTCTCCAGGCTCTTCTTCAGGAACTGAGCGGCTATCTGCTCCTCTGTAGCCTTTTCTACGAGATGCCGAGCAAATGCCTGCTCCATCTGTGCCAGAAGAGGTGAAGAATAGGATTCAGTGAACACAACAGAGGCAGATGTAACTCACAGTGGCTCCTTCCTCTCAGTGTCTCCTCCTCTGAGGTACCATTTTCCCTTCCCCTGCTCAGAACTTACTTGCACTGTGATAAGATCCTGTGGGGTATGGCTCTCCTCCCAGAAATGCAGTGTTACCTGGAACTTGGGTCTGGGGCCTTCACCACGGAAGTACCTGTCCAAGTCTTTCAAACAAAAGGGTCAAGGGTTAGAAAAAAAAATTAGGGTCCTAGGCAAGAAGTTAATAAATATCCAAGAATCTATAATGGAAAGAAAGAGGCAGAGTAGGGTCATATAGAGACCAAGGCCACAGCAGGAGGTATGGGGTAAGGAGAAATGCTGGGAACTAAGCTGCTACTCAACCATGTATAAATAGGATAGGATGTCCCTTCCTCAAAAAGCACTGAAGGTAGATTATTTTTTATGACCTGAAAAACTGTCTGCTGGGGAGTTTCATGTCCTCAAAGGCAGCAGCCCTGGTGGTTATCCCTTCCTTGCTTGCTCATACTCTCCTAACATGAGAGCATCAGCGTCCCTGGAATACCTATACATGGCATAATGCACATGGCCACAAGGCTTGGGATCTCTGTGCTAACTGATCTGTACTTCACATACTCTGTGCTTCAATGTAAAGATGCTCTGTGAAGTGTGTCACTTTTTTTTTTTTTTCCTGTAGGTTGTGGGGCTTGAAGTAAGGGCCTGGGTACTGTCTCTGAGTTTTTGTGCTCAAGGACAGCACTCTGTCACTTGAGCCACAGCTCCATTTCTGGCTTTCTGGTGCTTAATTGGAGATAAAAGTCTCACAGGCTTTCTTGCCTGTGCTGACTTTGAACTGCAATCCTCAGATCTTAGCCTCCTGAGTAGCCAGGCTTATGGGCGTGAGCCACCAGCACCTGGCTCTGAAGTATGCCACTCTTGTGTTAGATGCCACCTGATCCTATCTTCTGTGTCCTTGGCTAAAGAGAGCAGCCAGGGCTGGGCATAGTCCACACAGGATGTGTACCACACAAAGATATGGGGGCTGGTGGGCAGGGTGGTGGTAGGACCTGCCAAGTGAGGCCTAGAGGGTACTAAAAGGTAGGGGCAAAGGGCTTGGGTGTCCAGCTGGAGAAGCCTTACCTCTGCAGAAGCAGTCAGTTTGGAAAAGCGTCACACACTTGTTGCTGGGCAGCAGATGTGGACCTGGTCCAGGTGGGTCCTGGGGTGCATACCAGGAGACAGAGATGGGGCAAAGGCGCTTCACAAAGAGACCTTTGGAGTTGCTGGCTACCAGGATGCCTTTCTTAAGCTGATTCAGCAGGTGCTGGGCAGATTCCAGCCGATCATTGGGCTTGGGAAATACCACCTGCTCCATGTTGCTTTCAGAGTCGAAGGGCTCAGCCACAAGGCGGCAGTCCAGGCTTCGCACCTGTACCTCACCGACCACATGCCCACAGTAGATGAAGGTGAGCAGCAGCGAGTAGTCTAGGGAGAGAAAAGCCCAACTTTGCCAGGTGCTGGACAAGGGTGAAGGCTGCCTACAGGCCCTTCTTCCCAGGCCCAGAGGGGAAACCAAGGAATGACTGGTAAAGACAAAGGCCCTAGGGCTGAGGCAGTAGTTATACCTTCCTTCCTCTCCTTTTACCTATCCCCCATGCCACCACCAGCAAGGACTTTCTATTTAAGGCTTTCCTGTCACCTAACATTTGGATTTGTGTGTGTATTGGTCCTTGAGCTTGAACTCAGGGCCTGTGCATGGTCCCTGTGCTTCCTTTTGCTCAAGGCTAGCACTCTACCACTTGAGCCACAGCTCTACTTCTAGCTTTTTTTTTTTTTTTTTTAGTTTAGTGGAGATAACAATCTCACAAACTTTCCTGCCTGGGCTGGCTTCAAACTGTAATCCTCGGATCTCTGCCTCCTGATTAGCTAGAATTACAAGTGTGAGCCACCAGCACCCAGCTTTTAACAAATGGATTTATCTGTATCAAGGCTTAATATCCATGGCCTTGCAGTTTAAAAAAAAAAAAAGTCCCGAGACTGGGCCTTATTTGCATGAATTAATATTCTCAACATGGATTAATAGTCTCAACGTGGATGTCCAAGAAATACAATATGAAGGGTGACATTGCTAGGAGAAGCAGGGAAAGAGGAAGCAGGAAAGAGTCAGAGAGACCAAATACCTGAGTCCAGAGGGAGCTGATGCTCCACAGACATTGGTTCCTCAAGAAAGGTGGCCTCTCCAAGAAGTAAGGTATTGTCTACACCTGGAAGGGAGGCAAGGGTACTCAGGGTTGGTTGGTCAGAGAGTGCTATACAGGGGAAACACAGGGCTGAGAGGCAGTACCTTCCTGTGGTTCAGTACTACTGCTTCTGCTGCTGCTGCTGCTGCTGCTGCTGCTGTTGCTGTTACTGCTGTTGCTGGCGATGCTGCCACTACTCCCACTGTCTGAGTGGCTTGCAGCTCCATTAGCCCTCAGATCCTATAGACAGTGTGTGTTACCACTCACCTCTCACTCTGGTTACTCAACATAAGACCCACCAGTGTCCTCCCCAGCTCACAGTATTGACAGGATCCTGAAGATAGGAGTGAGTGTCTGTGCCATTCTTGCCAGTACTGGTATCCTCCTGCCTCTCCGAAGACACAGAACTGTGGCATAGTTTTGATTTCTTGGTTCCTGGCTGGGCTGTGGAATTGTTGGAGGAAGAGCAAGGTGAGTGGCTTATACAGGAAAGAGAGGAGATGGAAGGGCCATGAAAGGATGGACAGGGGTAGGGAAGGAAACCTGGGTAGCAGCTCCCCATAGGCAAGGACAAAACGGAACACTCGGGGGTGTCCTGCCACTCTCCCAGAAGGCAGCTATCTCCATCCTTCATCCCGGTTCCTGGGTCTTGGAACAGCTGGGCTAGGGGATACTCACCAGGGAGGGTTCCTGGTGGCAGCAGCCGGTACACCTTATAGGGCTCAGCCACATCCAGATGGCTTCTCTCAGGAACCTCTTCAAATTCAGGACTCTTGTTGAGGGCACAACGCAGACGAGTCTTCCATACAGCAGGGCCTCCAATGTCTCCCTCCTTGTCCTTTCCCTTAAATTTTGCCCAGGCCTAGTTAAGACAGAAAGCAAAGAAGAAGCAGTGTTGCGTAGCATCCCAGTTGTCCTTCCAGTAGAGCTGGCTTCACATCTGTGAAGCACCTGCACAGGCTGAGGCGAAGATGAGCTTGTGCTGGGTTTGTGCCTTTTTTTTTTTTTTTTTTGCCAGTCTTGGGCATGGACATTGTCCCTGAGCTTCTTCTGATCAAGGCTAGCACTCTACCACTTGAGCCACAGTGCCACTTCTGGCTTTTTTTAATGTGTTACTGCAGAATCGAACCCAAGGCTTCATACATACTAGGTAAGCACTCTACCGTTAAGCCACATTCCCAGCCCCTCTCACAGTCTCTTTAAGATGAAAAAGAATTATTAAATAGTTTTACAAAGAGGCTTACAATTCCATAAGTCAATCCAAAGCAATTTGGGGGGGGTCGGTCATGGGGCTTGAACTCAGGGCCTGGACACTGTCCCTGAGCTCTTCAACTCAAGGTTAACACTCTACCACTTGAACCATAGCACCACTTCCAGTTTTTTCTGCTTATGTGGTACTGAGGAATCAAATCCAGGACCTCATGCATGCAAGACAAGCACTCTATCACTGAGCCACCTTCCCAGCCCCCCAGTGTCACTTTCTGTTTTCTGATGGTTAATTGGAGAAAAGGGTCTCACGGACTTTCCGGCCTGGACTGGCTTTGAACCGTGATCCTCAGATCTTAGCCTCCTGAGTAGCTAGAATTACAGGTGTGAGCTATTGGCGCCTGGCTCCAGCAATAATTTTTTAAAGTGGGCTCTGCAAAGGACAGCTGGTTCTACTTTCCAATCTGCCCTGTATCTCAAATCCACATCTTGGAGGGGATGGTTGTTTCCAGGCCCTGTTACCTTGAAGAAGGCAGCATCCTGGTCCTCCCGGAAGTCCTGCTTGCCTGCATGCTTCCAGGGAATCCGGAACATCGTTTTAGCTGCATCATCCCAGCATACCCCTGGGAACTTCCCACTCTCCACTTGCTCCACCACCCAGTTCCGAAGCTTTCGGGTACAGCGGGCCCTGCCTGATGCCATCCTGAGAAATAAGAGGAAACATTAGAACTGGCAGTTTATCCGGTGGCTCACATCTGTAATCCTAGATGCTCAGGAGGCTGAGATCTGAGGATCACTATTCAAAGCAGCCCTGGCAGGAAAGTCTATGAGTCCAATAAACCACCAGAAAAACAGAAATGGTGCTGTAGCTCAAGTGGTAGAGCGCTAACCTTGAGCTGAAGAGCTGAGGGACAGCACCCAACCCAGAGTTCAGGCCCCATGATCGACCAAAAACCATCCCCCCAAACTGGCAATTTGGAAGAGAATATCTGTTGACCCTAATCAACAGCCAGTTTCAGCAACAGCTCCCAGACACCCATCCATCTTCTTTTGGCTCTAAATATATCTTAGTATTCAACTTCATTTCTGACACCAATGGCAACTTGTGTGTGTGCTGGTTCTGGGGCTTGAACTCAGGGGTTGGATGCTATCCAATATTTGCTTAAGGCTAGAATTTAAGCCACAAGTCCATTTCCAGCTTTTTGATACTGCAGATAAGTCTTACATACTTAACCAATTTGGACTGGCTTCAAACCTTGATCCTCAGATCTCAGCCTCCTGAGTAGCTAGGATTACAGGAGTAAGCCACCGGCACCCATCCACTACCAACTATTTAAAAATTTCTTTTTACTTTTTCAAGCAATGACACTTGAAGGAAATCTTAACACATTGGTCTTTAATGATTCAGAATTGGGGGGTGAGGGATGAGAGATAGTGTTCTGCTCTTGGTGAAAGATCTAGATTCCCAAGCACCTGCAGAGGCTTCATTAACCCTCAACCCACAACCACCATAACCTACACTTTCACCCCCAAGTGGGGGGTGGGGTGGCTAGCTGGAAACAGGGGCGGAGCTTCAGCAGAGGTAGGCAGGGCCAAAAGGCAAGAAAACAAGCAGGGTCATTTGAGGCTGGGCAAAGAGCCTTCCTCCACAAACTGGTATCAGATTCTGTCCATTTTTCCTACAAAACTTCAAACACAGTCTCTTATTCTCACCACCAGCTTTCTGACTCACAAGCCTCTGTCCATTCCTTCCTCTGGCATAGGTGTACCAGGAGTCCCTACTATTATTTCCAGTTTGGGCTGGCCCTTCTAGCTTTAGATCCCAGGCTGATTCCCCTCCATGGCTGCTTACCTGCACTGCTCTCCAGGCTGTCCCAGGACTCCACCGAACTCAGCTCAGAACCAGCCTAGGAAGCTTCTACTGCTGTCTCTCCACCCCTTTCTACAGTCTCCACCCTTAAGTTTCATTTCTCCACCAGGGAGGAACGGTTCCCAGAAATCACGTGATCTGAATTGCAGAGCAACTAGCTACCACAAGAGGGAAGCAGCATAGGAGAATCTTACAGTAACAGTTTTTTGTTAGCAGAAAGACCCCTTCAGGTGGACTTTGTCCTCTGCCTCCCACTTATATACTTGTTTGTACCACAGCTGCTTCCTCTGGAAGACTAGTTTCCTGAAGTCTGGAGCCTCTGAATTGCTGTGTACATCTGTGAGTCTGTGTTTTACCCATAGTGTACTTGCTTGGTACAAGTTAGGTGACTTCAAATACCAGCTGAATTTGATAAAAGAAGAGAAGTAGGGAAGGAAGAAGCCCAGGTCAGATGGTTGGATTGGCAAGGCCTTGCCTGTCCATGGTATCAGTTTCTTCCTGGCTCTAAATCCAGAAAGTCCATAGTAGGCTTCAGGGAGCTCTTTCAACAAAATGTTGTTCAACTCCCCCCACCCCCCACCCCATTTCCTTGATGCCCCTAAATGGTAGGGCCAGGAAGAACGACCACCAAGAAGCCTGGGCAGTAAGATGCCTCTTTATTGGTGCTGGAGGGAGCAGGACCCTTTCCTTCAGCTACTTCCTCCTTCGGGGAATACTCCGTCCCAAGGGCACCTCTTCCATCAGCTTCTGTAGGCGAGAGAAGATAAGAATGTTGGAAGCTTAGAGTTCAAAAACCAGCCAGGACAGGTGACTTCTTAAGGATGTGAGGTCAGAGGTGAGACTGGGTAAAGCATTACCTGTAACAAGCGTGCTTGGTAGGCAGGGGGATCCTCTCCAGCCAAAGGCTGGGGGTGCAGATGCAGGTAGCGTTCAGTGGCTATCTCTAGCTCCTCCACCTCATACAGAGTTGCTGGGTCTAATGAGTGGGCATTGATGAGGCTCACAAGATATTCTTTGTAGTGTGACCTGGGGAGATGAGGGAGCAGAACTGAGTACGCCAAGTGCCTGTCTGGGCCACTACAATTCTTAGACCCAAACAGGACTACAAACTCCTACCTGCTGTACTAGTAAGTACTGCCAATCAGCATGTACCATTACCCATTCATGCCCTTGCCCAGAGAAACCCCTCCCTCCCACTCTGTGCAAGACCCTACTACTCCCAGAGACCCCACCTCACTGCCTGGGCATGCCCTCACCACTCCTATCCCCCATTCCCAACATCATGCTCTGTAAGCCCTGGCTGGCACTTACTGGCAAAGGCCGGCATAGCCAGGTGGAGTTTCTTTGCCACAAGCTTCATCCCTAAGCCCATTGGGAACCTCTTTTTGCTCCATCACTCGGCAGCCACCTAAGAGTAAGGGAAAGGAAGGGACTCTTCATTTGGAGGAAGCAATTGACATAAAATCCCCAGAGAACTGGAATATCCATGCAGCACGGGAGGCAGCCTCCCACCTGGGTATATGCAGTATATATGAACTGGGTATATGCACTGAGTATATGTAGATACTTAAGAGATGTTTTCAGCAGAAGACCAACTCTTGATAAGGAAGCTTGCTGCCTTATTTTTTATCCAGGCTGGCTTTTGACTCATAACCACACTTTGATAAAGTACTCTTGGTTTTTAGCTCCTGCATGGTAACTGAAGCTTTTATAGTACTAGTGATTGAGCTCAGGGCCTTAAGCAGTTAGGTAAGCATTCTTCCACTTTAGCCACAGTCCCAGTTATTCTGTACAACAGTTGTATCTCCAGGTGGTGACAAGCAGAGTAGCTTAGAACCCTACATCACACCTGTCTGTTGCTCTCAGGGAATCTTTAACAGTGCCCTGCAACTAGCAGTTCTCATTAAATACCCAAAGAATTAATGAATGAATCATAATCATTGGAGAATGTGAGAAGTAGCCTAGCATTAAGAGCAATCACTTTTAATGGTATCTTAGGTAAATAGCTGAGCTGCAAGGTAGGTATTAGCAAGGTAGATATTTTTACCTCTATTTTATAGAGGACTAAACAAGACCCGAGGAGGTTATTAACTTGCCAAAGGGCACAACTCCAGACCCAGGCCTTCCCTTTACCCACCCTACAGTGGATCCCAAAACATCATTATCTGAGGCTGGTCAGACACTCACCTCCAGGGACTGCCCGGGCCCCAGCTGGAGGCTCTGTATTAAACATGATGTTATTGTCCTGAGGAAGGGTAGAGATAGGTATTATGTTCCCCTTGATCCAGCCACTGTTGTATTTCCTATCATAAAGCCTTTTCCATTCTTTCCCACCCAAGATCCTGCCTCCCTCTCCTGGGCAACCTGAAAGGCCAGTGGGGCTGGTCACTGCTCACCTGTAGCAGCTTCTGGAGCCGGACAGCAGTCCAATCTCGTAAGTAAAAGAGGCAGTCTCGAGGGTGGTGGCCATGCAGGGATTTTTTCACCTTGCACTTAGGGTCTGGACATTTCTGGTGGAAACCCAGAATGAAAGATAGGAAGTTGGAAACTTGGGGTCCTGAACTCTCAGAAACCCCTTGTATGAAGGGCATAGGGGTAGGGAGAGAGCTGGAGAGTATGAAGCCAAAAAATGTGGAAAAGGGACCAAAAAGTGGTACTTTATGTCCTTACTAACCTCCTCTCTTCTTCCCCTGGGCACTCCTAAATGGCCTCTTTGTCTCAAACCCAGTGGCAGCTTCCCACCATTATCTTCCTTCCCCATTCCTGTACTCACATTCTTGGCATAGAAAGTATTGTAGCAGCCACTGCAGAACTGGTGGCGACACTGGGTACAGTGAAAGTGCATGCAGCCTCCTCGGGCCAGTGCATATGAGAACTTGCACTTGGGGCAGTCTGCAAGGGATAAGAAATCTAGGGTACAGCAGCCACTGTAACATTAAGGCCACTGGTGGTCTTGACAGAGCAGACTACTGAGCAGATAAACCAAGTAGGATAGCCTTACCAATACCATTTTCTTGAAGATACATTGCTAGGCCTTGGGCCTGGTATTCTGGGTCATTGGTACGTTTCCAGTTCTGGAAATCCTCACAGCTCCGTCCTCGGTGCTGTTCTTCCCACTGCCAAAAGGAAAGCAGGCTATTCATGCAAGCTCTGACCCATGCCCAGGCCCTTCTTACTCATTCTTCTACTCACATTCAGTGGTCCCCAGCTTAGTTTATGTCACTGTCCATCACCATTTGCTCACATCCTAAAACTGAGCGGCTATCTTGGTTCCTCTCTCTCTGTATGTGTCAATACTAGGACTAGAACTCAGGACCTATAAGCTTACTTGGCTTGCTTGTTTATAGCTGGTACTTTACTACCTGAGCCATGCCTCCGGCACAACATTGTGTTGGTTAATCACAGATGAAGTCTTGTGGAATTTTTTTTGTTCAGCTCGGTTTGAACCATACATGATCCTCAGATGTTAGCCTTCTGAGTAGCTAGGATTTATAGGCATGAGCCACCAGTGCCCAGCTTCACCTTGGATTTTCATTTCCTCATACCATTTCATATTATTCACAAGTTTCATTTTCACCACCCAATCTGTATCCATTTTCTTAATCCTTATTACTACCATGCCAATGTCAGATCTTGCTTCCAGTTACTTGCTTGACTTACTAATCTGTTTCTACTTCTGCTTCCCGAGACCCTATTTTCTACACTGTAGCCAAAAGACTAGAAATCCTTTTAAAGAAGAAGTCAGAGAGCTTGGTAATGTGCTGGTTTTGAGGTCTGAAGATAGGGACTCAGGTGTTCACTTTATTGTTTCATGACACATATGCCAGTGTTTTGGTAGCAAACATTCTCACAATGAAAGGCAAACTGCCTTCCTTGGCCTTGAGTTCTATCATCTGACAGCTAGCTCTTGACAGACTCACTCTTGACCCAAGGCTCCAGCCATACAACTTTTCTGCCTTTGATCTTTCCATGAGTTGTTCTATCTGTTGCAAATATTCTCTACATGGGTGGCTTCTTCTTAACTTTCAGGCCAGAGTTTAAGCCATTTTAGGCCATGTATGGTTACTTATGTTTATAATCCTAACTATTCAGAAGGGCTGCAGTCTTAAGGTTTGTCAAGGTAAAATCAAGAAACCCTCTCTGAAAAATAAACTGAAAGAAAAAGGATTGAGGGTTATGGCTTAAGAGGCCCTGAGTTCAATTCTCTGTACTACTCCCACCCTCACCCTCCAAAAAAGATTAAGTCATTTTAGAGAAGACGTCTAGAATCTAGCTATCCTTAGTAGGTCCATGCTGTTATCAGTATCTGATTATTACTTATTTTCTTGGTCAAATTTATATCTATATTTAAGCATCCCTCCTCTCCCCTCCTCCCCACCCCCCACCCCTGCTCTTTCTCTCTTTGCCAGTCCTGTGGCTTAAACTCAGGACCTAGGTGCTGTTCCTGAGCTTTTTTGCACAAGGCTAACATTCTACAACTTGAGCCACAGCTCTACTTCCAGCTCTTTTGGTAGTTTTAGTAGAATGAAGAATCTCACAGACTTTCCTGCCTGGGCCGGCTTTGAACTATGATTCTCAAATCTCAGCCTCCTATGTAGCCTGAATTACAGGAATGAGCCACCAGTCCCTGGCTACTTTCCCTTTCTTTACTTTCTTCTTTCTCTCCCTTTTCCTTCTCCCTCCATTCTTCCCTTTTTCCTTGTGCCTGGCTCCCTAAATAATATGTTCTTTAAACTCAAACCCTGTGACTGTTTTGCCTTCCAGTATACCCTGAGTCTAAAACGGTACCTCAGAATGGCTTAGCAAATATTTTTCAGACTTTGAGTGTGACTCACCTGGCGCTTGCAGCGCACACAGAAGGTCTGGTGACACTGGGGACATGTGGCCTCCAGCTGTTCACGCTCATATATGAAGCCAAAGGAGCACTGTGAGTGTAAGAACATAAAGCGATTCAAACCCTGACCTGGAGACATCCCCTACCCCTCCATAACTAGTTCTTCTGGTCATGCCATTTACCTGGGCACACCACAAGAACTTGGGGTCTCGCATTAGCACACCCTCAGTCAGCTTCTTATGAAACAATGCATAGGCAT